GGGCATCCTCCACACTCCCAGCCTGGGCCAGTGCTGCCTCTATGGCATCCAGCTCCTCGCTGGTCGCCTTCAGCTTGACCCGAAGCAACGCCGCATAGGTGCCATAGCGAGATTTCTGAGGCAGAGGGCAGGGCTGTGAGAGCCAGTCTCCCCACCACTGGGCCGACGCAGCCAGTCCTGTCCTCCTTGAAACCCTTACGCTGGGAGATGGCCCTCTCTGAGCACCTTGGACTCCCAAGCTGGGAAACACAACACATGACAGACACCTCCCTTCCTGAACCCAGTGACTGGGGTGTGTAGATGTCAGCCTCCTTCCCAGGAGTGAAAACAGTAATTCAGAGAAAGAAGCACCCTGCCCAAGGGCACCGCTGGTTTCATTTGTCAAGTCCATCCCTTAGCCCAGCCTGAGCCTGTGTGGGTGCGGGCCAGGCGGGGGGCTTACCTCAAACTCCAGGTAGGCCTCCTTCTGCCGCTGCTCATCTGCCTCCTTGCCGCGGGCCTTCTTTCCCAGCTGGGTGGCCCGGTGCTCACGAAGCTCACTTGCCATGGCCTTCAGCTTGGCCTCATGGGTCCGCACCTGCTCTTCCTGGCAGCAGGGGAACAGAGTTGGGGTCACTGTAGTCTGTGCAGTTCCCCCCATTTGCCCCTTCCTTTGGGCAGTGCCGCGGAGCAGCGAGCAGAGGCCGGTGGGCCTGTTAGCCCTCAGCTGTGGCCAATGAGGAGCCGAAGTGGGCATCTACCTAATCCCACCTGGCACCAGGTAGGCCAAGCAGCCAGGGCTACCTGGGAGAGGCGGGTGGCGGCACTGGGCAGAAGTGGGCGGCTGAACTTCTTCTGGGAGCTGACAGCAGCCGGGAATGGGGGTGCAGAGAACATGGCAGCCACCACGTTGATGCGCGTGATCCAGGACTGCATCTGCTCCAGGCTCCTACGGATGCACACACCCCCTTGGGATGGGCTTGAACCTGGCTCAGGGTGTGGCCAGAGGACAGAGGCAACCCCAGGGCACAGACCAGAGCAGGGTGCAGGGATCCGGCGGGGGGCGTGCGTGTGTCAGGCACTCACGAAGCCTGGAAGAGGAAGACCCGCCAGTCTGCTGTGCGAAGGTAGAAGACATGGGGCCTCTTGCTATAGTCACTGGCCCGGGTGGCCAGGGCGTGGTGGATGCTGATGGCGTTCTTGAGCTCAGCCTCAGAGAGCGCCTTCCCGGGCTGGTACTCCTCCTGCGGGGTGCCACCTTGTCCTGTCCAGGCCGGGCCTGGCCCACCCGCTCACGGCTCCCTCTCCCAAGCCAGCCGCCCACCCGCAGCGCCCCACACCTTCTGCAGGTAGAGAATCATGCCCTTGAGGATCCCGTGGAAGCTCTTCCAGCCTCGCTTGCCCCGAGGCGCTGGGGAGAGAAGGCAGGTCAGGGGGCTGGACTGACCCGTGCCCATCCACCCACCCCCACCGTCACGTACTCTTCCGGCAGTCAGGGTCTGCGTGCACCTTGCGCACCAGGGCCCCGTGCTTGTAAACGGCGGCCCCGGGCTCAGGAGTCAGGTCCAGGAAAGGGCTGGAGCCGCTGCCGCTGCCCCCACTGACCCGCTTGATGACCTTGGGGTTGGGGTCGGCCAGTTCGGACAGAGAGCGCCTCAGCTCCTCCTCGTCTCTGCAGGGGCCAGGGCCTCAGAGGGGCTGCCAGGAAGCCCCAGCCCCTGGCTTTGCTCACTCTGGGGAGCTCCCCAAACCGTAGGCTCTATCACAGGGGCTGCCCTCTAAGCTGCACCCCACACACCCAGGAGTGCTCAAAGAACTGCTGGCCACTCCCTCCTGCGTACCCATCCCCTTCCTGTTTCTGCACACACACAACCCTCACACCTTCTCCTCCAGGACAGACATGTCCAATCAGCTATGTTTCAAACACATCTAACACCAGGCTTTGCTCATAGTTTGTTGACTAAATGGTTACAGAAAAGATGGCTTCCTAGTGTCTCACCCCAACATCTTGGTAAGCTGTCAGGTATCTGTCAAATAAATAATCAGATTCTAATCTGTCCCTCCCTACTCAAGAATCTACTACAGCTCCCTACTGCCTCCCACGTGGAACCTACACCATGCCTCCTCCAACACTGGCATCCTCACTCCAGCCAGGCCTGCCTCCTCATGGCCTCCCCTTTCTGGACTCATTTCAAATAGCCCTTTGTCTCCCAAATGCCTGCTTTCCTTCTCTCTCCAACTGCTTTCCCTCCTTCAAGACTTGCCTAAGTTCCAATCCACCAAAACGCCTCCCCTGGTCCTTGTGCCCTGCTCTGGAGCTCCATCTCTGCTAAGTTCTCTTCTCAAGACCAGGAGCTCCCAGCTGATGGAAGTGACCAGCGCATCGCGGGTGAGAGCGGCAACCTCAGATGGCTCCCACTGCCACCCACAATCGGGCCTTCTCCCTCAGACTGCACTCTAACCCTGAGTCTCAGTTTCTCCTTGTGGCAGCAGAGAAGAAACCACATTGCTGCTTGTCCAGAGACCAAGGGGTCCAGGACCTGAGGACCTTTGCTGCTGGCAAGGGCACAGCTCCAGATGTGCCCACTGTCCGCTGTCCGACTGAGCTGCCAAGGAACCACCCTCTTGCCAGCACCTTCCTCCTGCACAAGCTCGCCTGTCACAACAGCCCGGCGACGAACAAGACAGAGGCCCGTCCAGCCAGGATTTCCAAAGAAGGAAGCCAGGCAGCCTTTCCAGCTAGCTCCCCTCCCCACGCCCTGCCCCGACTCACATGGCCCACTGCAGCTTCTCATTCTTGATGGAGCTGTACAAGGCCTGAGGAGGAACAAACGGGGCGGGAGTCAGGCCTAGGGAAGGTGCACTGTGTTCCTGAGACTCAGAGCTCTTGGCGCAGCTCCCAACTCTCTGGGGAGATGGAACCCGGCAACGGCAGGACCACGATCTGGGCTCCCGGATATGGTCCCAAGAGCCAGGCCCGGCTCCGCCACTTCAGCTGCATGACCTTGCTCAGGTACCTCGGACAGGAACAAACCTAGCAACACGTGGGCGCAAACAGGCGGCCCTGGGACCCGGCACAGAGCGATGCGCTAAATGACAGCTGAAATCATTGCTGCCGCTGTTAAGGGTTCTCCCGCTCCAAGCCTGGTAGGAGGACAACCCTCAGGAAGACGCGAGAGCAGCCTCTGGCCAGTATCCACAGACAAACCCACGTGTGCACATGGGGAAACTGAGGCTGGGGACAGAAACCCCCCTCAGGTCCTTCCTTGACTAATGGAGAAAGGGCTCTCCTGGCTCCGAAGACGTCTGAGCCACACACACACACCCCACCCAGCCAAGCCAAATGGCGGGACTCCAGCAGCGCCCGCGTCACGTTTCACGGCTTCAGGGCGCACACGGTCTGAAGCGCTCCCAGCCCCCTACCCCTGCCCCCCGAAGCTACGAGCTCCGGAACCAGTTATTCCCAGTCGCACAGCTGGCCTCAGGGACTCCGAGAAGGGCACGCCTCTAGGAGGAGCAGGGGACCCTCATCTGTCTAGCGGTCCCGCGGGTCCGGTGGGCACCTCCCGGGGGCTCTCGCCCGCGCCCGTGGGTGGGTGTGTCCCAGCGTGTGCAGTGTCGCGTGTGGCCGCGACGCTGC